TGTACCTCTGGTGCAAATTACTGACCTCTGTCATCATTTTAAGTGGGGGAACTTGCACAATCGGTGGCTGACTAAATACTTTTTTGCCCCACTGTAGACTCTAAAACAGCTAGCTCATTATCTGCAGAAAAGTGGTTTATTTGCAGTTTCAGTAAGGTTTCAGAACTTATCACAGTACAGAGACAGCGTTAGTGAAAGTTACAAATGATCTGTTTATGGCCTCTATGAACTCATCTCTGTGCTTCACCTGACCTCAGTGCAGTGTTCTCAACTGCTGACCATAATATTTTATTACAAAGATTAGAGCATACACTAGGAATTAAAGGTACTGAGCTGCGGTGGTTTGAATCACATCTATCCTAATAGACTCCAATTTGTTCATGTAAATGGTGAGTCCTCCTCACAGACTGAAGTTAATTATTTAACAAATTTAACATTCTGCTCCTCACATACAAGGTCTTAAAACAATCAGGCCCTTAACCTTGTACCATACCATCCTATTAGAGCACTTTACTATACAGTATAAAGCACCTTGAGATGACTGTTGTTGTGATTTAGCACCAGAGATGGGCAGTAACGCGTTACTGTAATCCGATTACTTTTTTCAAGTAACAAGTAAAGTAAGGGATTAGTATTGCAAAAACGGTAATTAGATTACCGTTACTTTCCCGTAGGAACGCTGCGTTACTGCGTTACTAAAACCGTGATTTTTTTGCGAGAATGTCTCATGACAGTGACGTAAGCAAGTGCGACGTTCGTGACAACAGCTGTGTGCAGATCAACAATGGATAATATATCGAGTGCAGGAGAGAGTATGAGCGTTTAAAGCGTTTAAAGCATGGAAGTACTGATCTTACTTTGAGTTTGATTCCATAAAAAGTGACAAAAAATATTAGCGTCTGCTGCGTGGGAAGAAAACTTCTTTTTACAGCGAAAAAAAGCCCTAAACAAGCACCGAGTGCGCAACGACGTAATGGGAAATTCACAGAGAAACTTGCGGATTCTTCAACTGACCGCTGCGCACACCTGCACCAGGGCAAACCACTCTACACACATACATAAAAAAGACATCCTCATTATTATGAGTGAATAGTGTTATCATGTAAGGTTACTCTGAATTTCCTCTAATAGTTTTATCTAATCTAATTGAATCTCTCTAGTCTAACCTTAAATACCAACAATAATATTTCACAGCCCACAGGCTTCATTATAGTCATTAGATTTCTAAACAAGGCTACAATACAGTCAACTCACAATAACTTACATGACATGAAAGAGGTTGTATAGGAATTTTGGTGTTGTAGTTTACCTGCACTATAAAGCCTAGCTTTCTGCCATGAACCTGGCTGCAGATGAAAATGAAACTTGTCTTTTTGATTCTAGAACCTTGCAACTGGTCTCATAGAAACTGCTAATTTGTCCTTTTTTCAGTTTATTCACTTTGTTGAATTTTTTGGTCTCAGTTGAATTTGCTTGTGTTGTTGTACATGTAGTGTTTTGTCAGTGACACCACTTTTGTAATTTTGCTCTGTACCCTGTGTCCAATTATTATGTGATTAAAATACATGCTTTCAATAGGTATTTTCAAAAGTACTGCATGAACTGTTTAGATATTACAGCTGTATTTACATATTGTTCCCATTTTTAAAGGTTCAACAGTCACTGCACAACATATTGTTCAATGTAAGGATTGTTGCTGTTGATGCTTGGATGAAAATCTATTTCTCTTATTGTTTGGCTGAAGTCTACAACCCTGTGCCATCACAAATGCAGTATCTCCTCCTTTGCAGTCTGCCATAGTGTCAAGTACTACCCAGTGGGGTCCAAACCCTTTTCTAGGTCTCTGCAAAACGAACTGGACAAGCTGAGAGCCAGGATTACAACACAATGAGAAATAAGAGAGCTCTAATTTTCACTGAGACCTGGCTTTCAGAAAAAGTTCCAAGACTGCCGTTCAGATACAAATTCACTCCGTAACTTAAGTACATGCCACACAGAAACAACTATTGTCACGGCTGTGGCAGCAGTCGTGTGGTGTAGTGAAGGAAGGACCCAAACTGCTGGCACTGGCTGTGATGCGAGTAAGCTTTATTGGAGAAGATGAACACAACAAAAGCGAGGGCAAAACTAAAACATAACCTAAACTGGGAACAGCTAAAGAACAAACCTAAAATCATACAAACACGGGATGAAGAGCAGAAATGGCACAGAGGATGTTGGGCAGAGAGACACAGAAATTACACTAGGCTACACAGACGACTTGGCTGAGGTGTCCTGTGGGAGCAACACCAGAGCTGGTGATACCACAAAGTAAACAAACTGATCAGGAAGACTTTGTTGTTGGCTGCAAACCGGAAACCTTTGGAGATGTTTCCAAAGGTTCTGGCTCTGTTTCCTCAAGGGCAGATTCTTTTAGATCATGTTCAATAGTTTTTTACAATATATTTATCATATAATGCTTCATCATATATATATCGTATATATATCATATATATATATATGTTATATATCATATAACACTTTTGTTATTGTGACGAAAGAATTTCCCAAATATTTGATAAATGAATTATTTTCTATTTCATCTTAAAATCCTGGCAGAGTATCTCAACGGAGGAGATACACATTTGTGATAGCACAGGGTTGTAGACTTCAGTCAAACAATGAATGAAAAAGATTTTCATCCAAGAATCGTGGCTCAGGAGGTTGGGAAGCGTATCTGTAACCGGAAGGTCACCGGTTCGATCCCTGGGCTTTCTGTCCGGGTGGTTGTGACCTTGGGCAAGACACTTTACCCTACTTGCCTACTGGTGTTGGCCAGAGGGGCCGATGGCGCAATATGGCAGCCTTGCCTCTGTCAGTCTGCCCCAGTGCAGCTGTGGCTACAACTGTAGCTTGCCTCCACCAGTGAATGCGAGAGTGAATGAATAGTGGCATTGTAAAGCGCTATATCAATCCATTATTATTATTATTAAAAACCTTTAAAATGGGAACAATGTGTAAATAACTGTAATTCCTAAACAGTTCATGCTGTACTTTTGAAAATACCCTTAAGCCTCTGTGGGCATGTAGCTCTTATAGCCTTTTGAAAAAGGCTACAAGGCTAACAAGGCTTTATCTATCCATGATGCCAGATGACTCACAACAATTAGTTTTACTATAGGTACATGTTAAAGACATAAATTCTAAATTCAAATAAAAATTAGGTTATTGTACTTGGTACTAAACATTTTAAAAACATGGTATCTAACTAGATCCTTACTCTGGATGGCATTACGGTCTTGACCAGCATATGTCCTTCAATGTACACAACAAATATGCATATCTCTAAAATTAGAAACATTTTCTTCAGAGCCATAATGAAAAACTAGTTTATGCATTTATTACTTCTAGGCTGGACTGTAGTACTTTAATTTCACATGAATTCGATGATGAGGTCTGATTTTAAGTAGTGCAACTACATGCAAAAGTAAGAACCACACAGTACCATTAACACTGCTTAGTACTGCAGATTTAACTTTGTGGAAGCAGATGATAATCTTATGCCTACTGCATGCCTGTCACCAGCTATAATTGTTGTTTTTCTTACTCTCTTTTTTTTTTTCTTTTCAAAATTGCTTGGGTAAAATAACCAACTGTAACTTTGCAGTATTTTCTTAAAAAATGAAAAAAAAGATACACTCACCAGTGTGCTGCTGGGAGGGCTTTGTAGGGAACACTAGTGGAGGAAGAGGATTGACATGCATACTGGCAGTGATACTGATGCACCTACATTGCCTGTTGCTCCAGGTCTGACCAAGAGGACACGTCCTGTTGGCTAATGGACACCTTCAATAGACGGAGACAAAAAGATTGATAATACTTAGTTAATCCACATGTTCTGAAATTTTGTTTCTTTTTTTTTTTGTTAGGCAATATAGATGTGCTCACTGGTTCACTCAGAATGCAGCAAAATGCAGCATCAAGAGTAAAGGCCATCACACAAACAATTGTGCAAAGTCTTTCTGCACCATTGTGCTAGCAATATGCAAGAAAATCCTGAATTTAATTTTCTTGAATATATTAAATGATTTAATTCAACCTTATGTATTTTATATGATCATCAGTGATGAGCAGTCCTAAAACATTTGTAATGAGAGTGCCTTTGTTTATTTGTTCTCCCAAGTCTGGGTAATTGGTCAAGAGGAAAATAATAATTTGGACACGCATTATGTGTATATATGGACAGAGAAGAGACAGATTATGATGGAAACGTCATGGATTTAATTATTATAACAAATACATTCCTCCTAATAGATGGTTTATGCTTTTTCAGTGCTGGGAAAAAGTATTTGTATATTTATCACTCTAATAAATGTGTAAGATCACCAAAAACATCTTACTATTAGATTGAGATAACCCAAGTAAATATGAAATACAGTTTGTAAATGATGAAATACACCTTGACTTGGACCCTAATGCTCAATGTAGCTCTTCTGTCGTAATTCCACCCCCTTCTCACTTCCTCTCTGTTTTTCAACTTCCATCTCTAACTGATATTGCTGATCTCATCCACAAATCAAAGCCTTCTACCTGCCAGCTTGATCCTATCCCCACTGTCCTTGTCAAAGCCTGCTTACTCCCTCTCCTTCCTCTCATATCTGCTATTATTCACTCTTCACTCACCTCTGGAACTGTTCCTGCTTCTTTCAAAGTTGCTGCCATTACTCCAATCCTGAAAAAAACAGGTCTAGATCCCAACAACTTTAACAATTTTTGTCCTATCTCCCATCTACTATTCCTCTCAAAAATTCTTGAAAAAATAGTTGCTTCACAAGTCCATCTACACCTAACTGATAATAACCTTTACGAACAGTTCCAGTCTGGTTTCCGTCCTCTGCATAGCACCGAAACTGCTCTTATAAAAATAACAAATGATCTTCTTATGGCAGCTGATTCTGGTCTCCTCTCCATCCTTATTCTCCTTGATCTGAGTGCAGCCTTTGACACCATCTCTCATCCCATTCTTCTTAGCAGATTAGCTTCTATTGGTCTCTCTCATACTCCATTAGCCTGCTTTAAATCATACTTGTCTGACCGCACTCAGTTCATTCAATTAAAATCCTTCACTTCTCAGCCTTCTCCTCTATCTACTGGGGTGCCCCAGGGATCTGTCCTCGGGCCCCTCCTTTTCATTCTTTACCTTCTTCCACTCTGACACATTTTTCGTAAATATAACATTCAGTTCCACTGCTATGCCGATGACACCCAGATTTACCTCTCTAAGTTTCGCATCCATTTTAAAATAATCCTTTATACATTTAAGGCTATTCATTCTCTCTCTCCACCATACCTCTCTGATTTAGTACAGATGAACTTCACATCCCGGTGCCTCACATCTTCATCTTCTCTTTCTCTCTCTGTTCCTTCCGCTCATCTGATTACAATGGGGGGCGGGGCTTTTAGTTGCTCTGCCCCTCGACTTTGGAATTCCTTACCCCCTGACCTCAGAAATATTAGTTCATTCCCTCTTTTTAAGTCCACCCTCAAACCTCATCTGTTTAAAATTGCTTATGTTTAAACCTCTGTATGCTCTTAACTTTTATCTGTTATTCTTATTATTGTGTATATTTCCAGTTTTTGTGTTTTTATTTGTTGTACAATGTCCTTGGGTGCTTTGAAAGGTGCTATTTTTAAATAAAATGTATTATTATTATTATTATTATTATTATTATTATTGTTGTTGTTGTTGTTGTGTGGATGCTTTAAGGCATCCACACTATTGAGTTCCTGTTTCTCTTTATTCTTTATCCTTCAAGTTGCTCCTTTCTTTGCCTCTTAACTACTCCCTCAGTTTTCAGCCGTTTTTCACCGTTCAAACTCTCAACTGTTCTGCTCTTTCTGCTAATGCTTGCTATGACTTTTGGTACTTATTACTATTATACTTTTTTTAACTTTTTAACTTCCAAAATTCTGCTAAAACTTGCTTGATTTTGAAACTTAACTACATCCTCATACTTTCACGTAGAAACGCCATTCAAACTTTAAAACATTCTCAAATTATTGGGTTATCCATGTACGATTCAGCTTTTTCATATCTGTTACCGTTTTAATTTAATGCCTCTTCAAGTTTTCAGTTGCAGCTTTGTGATTTTTCAGAAAATACATGCGTCATTATGGTTGCTATGCAATTAACTTAGAGGGGACACTTGAGCTTTTTGAATTTTCTCTTCATGTCCGAACAACTTCTTGCTACTCGCTCAATTTCTACTCAAACCCCACAAAGTATACATCAAAACGTAGGTATTTTTGGTGGCTTTCAGAAAATGTCACTATCATTGTTGTGGGAGTTACAGGTTTTTGCAAATCTCCTCAGAGCAACACAAAGTCTGAATACTCTCCATAGACGGTCAATGGAGAGCTTGTTCAAAATCAGCGCTGGAATTCTCTAATGAGACGCATTTTCAAATCGTCATATCTCCTTAACGAAGCAAAGTTAAGACATGAGGCTTGTCTTGTGCCAATATATCTTTAGACACTCCTGAAGACACTCACAATTCAAGAATTTTTCATTAACCTTTCATCATTTGGCCATGAACTCTCTCTGTGCCTGTGTGTGTGTAAAGGGCTGCACCAGGTGCAGCTGTTTAGGGGGGTAACAGGCAGCCTCTCTGATCGGTGGATTAAAATTGAGCAGCTCCAGGTTGTTTGACTGACCTAGAAACGTAGGCCGTGTCCAAATTCATGGGCTGCATCCTCCTGAGGACCCGGCCTTCGCGGTCTACGTGGGCCGGGTCCTCAGAAGGTCGGGTAGGCTGGAAGTAAACGGCTGTGAAATTGGACGGTCTAGCCTTCTGATTAGCGTCACCGCTGTCTCGGTGGAGTTTAATAAACTCGGCCGTCTGCTCCTTGCTATCTAAAATATAACAGGACACTGGCGTAAATTCTCGACCTCATACTTCTGTTTAATCAGTTTTCTGTTTGACGTTTAGTCAGCTGTGTGAAAACCAAGGAGGAACCCACCCGGGGGATTAATAAAGTTTTATTTTATCTAATCTAATAACTTTAATCTCAGCCAAACCGATTTACTCACGAACAAACAAAACACTGAAAAAAGCCCAACAATAACATTTTTAGGTTGTCTAAGTGACTTATATATTACGTTTAACCCGAGTAGCGAAAGTCCGCGGTGATCTGAAAATGATGTGCCGGGAGTTGTGCCGTTCTCGGCGGCTTCAGTGACCCTCGAGCTCGGCTAGCTATCGAGCTGGTGGGTAGCAGACGTCTCCGAAAACGTCGAAGCACTTTTGCAAATATGCGATATCTTGATAAACCGAGCAGATATTTGATGTTTACACAGCTACTTTCTCGCCTGAAAATATGTTAAAAGTTTATTTTGTGACCCAGAAAGATTAGTATGAGTAATTTTAAAACTTAGTAGCGGCCGCCATTGTTGGAAACTGGAGTTTGGCTGGGCCGCGCTATGAATTCTGGGATATGGTAGGCCACGAAGGACACACCCGACCCATCCTTCAAATTCGGGGAAAAGGAGGACGCATTTGTCGGCTGCATTCGGAGGAGTCTACGAATTTGGACAGCCTTCGGCGCGTCGCTGTGACGTAATCGGTCTACAAATGCGGCCTCAGGAGGATGCAGCCCATGAATTTGGACACGACATTACAAGAAACACTATTAACAGCCCCTGTTCACTTCCTGCTCTCTCTCTCTGTGTTTGCGTGCGTGTGTGTGAGTGTGAGAGTGAGAGAGACAGAGACCGTTTTTAGGCCGCATCTCATTAGTGGATGCAAATTAAATATATTCAGACTGGTTGACTGGCATAGATCCTGTATGTGTGTGTGTCTCTCTGTACATGTATTTCCATATGTGCCCATAGCTCTAATTTTGCGTATCTGCTGGCTGTTCTTTCCTGTTTTTCTAAAGTCTGTGAAAATTTGTTTTAGTTAAACAATAAGTAGTTTTGAGGAAAATTCACCTTGTTAAGCTGGTAATATTTGTTTTCCAATATTTCTATTTAAGTTATTAATATTGTGCTAAATCATAGTATTTCTGCTATCACATAGTATTTTGGGTATTTTTTAGTATTTATGGTAAATCATAGTGTTTTTTCTAAATCATAGTATTTCTGCCAAATCATAGTATTTCTGCCAAATTATAGTTTTTCTGTTAAAATATCATGTCTCTCTTAAGTCACAATATTTTTGCTAAGATGTTATGTTAATGCTCCATGTCAGAAATATTTTGCAGAAAGCCCATGTCTCTGTCTATGTTAGGAAGGGGTGCAGCTGTATTGACAGGAACAACTACACAGCCTGACAAAGCAGACAGAAGCAGCATCTCTGTTTGGTGGATTCAAATTGGGCAGATCCAAGCTGTTTGACTGTCATAGATACAGTTGAAAATATAAAGCTGAAAAAAGCTGATGTCAGTATTTGAAAAAGGTTTTGAACTTTTAATAACTTCACAGAAGCACTGTGTGTGTGTGTGTGTGTGTGTGTGTGTGTGTGTGTGTGTGTGTGTGTGTGTGAGAGAGAGAGAGAGAGAGAGAGAGAGACCCTTTCTTGGCAAAATCTCATTGTAGGATTCAAATTGAATATATTCAGACTGGTTGACTGGCAAAGATCCTTTGTGTGTGTGTGTGTTTCTCTCTGTGCACTTGCTTTTCCATATGTGTCCATATTTGTAATTGTGTGTATTTGTTGGCTGTTCTTTGTTGTTGTTTTTTTTTCTGCCCATTTCTCACAGGTGAACAACAATTAGTTTTGAGGGAACTTAACCATGTTCAGCTTTTTTCAGCTGGTCATTTTGCTTTTCCAATATTTCCAAGTGAG